GAGCTAGAATGCTGTGAACGTCAAACATTTCTTTATGACATGTGACTTTCTTGTTCTTTCTTTCTGTCTTACAGTTTTATACTAAAACCTGTGGAGATCTGAGCATAGAGTAAATATGAAATGATTGTCTCCCACAATGATTAGCACATTGTCAATAAATATGCCCATTTAGCTGAGAGTTGTTGGCAGCCTGTAATAGCCATGTAGAATGCTGTGAACGTCAAACATTTCTTTATGACATGTGACTTTCTTGTTCTTTCTTTCTGTCTTACAGTTTTATACTAAAACCTGTGGAGATCTGAGCATAGAGTAAATATGAAATGATTGTCTCCCACAATGATTAGCACATTGTCAATAAATATGCCCATTTAGCTGAGAGTTGTTGGCAGCCTGTAATAGCCATGTATTAGCTGTCTGACTCAGCCTGATGCCATCACATGACTTGAATTGCCAACTGAGGTTTTCTTCCTTCACATAACTTTAATTCTCAACTCTCTCTCTTCTTAAAGGTTCCAGATTCATATTTCTCTATTTTATTGGACTATCTGGAGGGGCTTAAAGGCAACGCACGAGATGTAACCATGAAGAAAGCTGAAGCTCTTATGAAAGAGTATGATAATTCAGACACAGAAGATCCAGGCCTGTTGGAGAAGTGTGAGCGCATACGAAAAGTTTTACAGCTATTATCATGAAAGTGTGTAAACCAAACCTTGTCATTATTCTAGATTCGTCTGTCTCTGGCAGAGCAGGTGTGATGCAACAAATAACTTTTTTTAAAATGTAATGACACTTTTCTCATTAAGAATTGTAATTTTGATGAGATATCATATTTCCCTTGCTCATTGTACAATATTTTTAATCAATCATTAAACAGTTTATAAAGAGACTGATGTCAAAACAAACATTGTTAAACATTCTATTTTGGCTCCATCAAGTAATTTTTACATCTCTTGAAAATGAATGGAGACATCCATCTCCCTTTAGTTCTTCACATATCCACATGTAAATACTGTTAACTGATGAGAGAAGTTTTGTCTCAATAAAAGCAAAGCAAACTACCAGAAAGCCTGAAGGTTCTTTCACAAAGGGCAGTTTTAAAAGTGAACATAAAGCACAGTGCTTGATCAGCCAGCTGTAATCTATTACTTTCAGCTTTAGCAGCATGTCGTTTGGATTTGGGAAAGATAATTTTCAGGCTATTGACCATGGGGTTTATACCATGTTTGCTTATTAGCAATTTAAGTAAAGATCTGGAGATTGTCAACTTGGTTACTTTTCCTTTTAATACTTAAAGTTTCTAGGTACTTTATTGCAATAGCTTAATATTCAGAAAATGTGAATAGATGTGAATACAGGCAGTCGGTTACGTACAAGATAGGGACTGTAGGTTTGTTCTTAAGTTGAATCTGTATGTAAGTCAGAACTGGCATCCAGATTCAACTTAAGAACCCCAGGCGTCCCCAAGTCAGCTGCTGCCGAAACTGATCAGCGGCTGATTCCAGGAAGCCGGGGGCAGAGCAACTCTGCCTCGGGCTTCCTGTAGTCAGCCACTGGTCAGTTTCAGCAGCGGCTGACTTGGGGACGACTGGGGCAGAGCAGCTGGGGCGCTGCTGGGTTGGTTCTGTAATTACGCAATTTGGCTGAATTTTGACAACCTACACATAAGTGAAGTGCTGTAATTCTTGAAATATACAACCCGTTATAAAAGCAGCTTATACACAGTAACCTCTTTAAAACAATCGGAGCCAAAAATATTGAGTGATCTAACATGTGCTGTTCTAATATGGTAACTATAATGGAATTTAACATAATGAGTGAGCCAAGATATAATAGAGAACAAAACAACAGAAAGTGCCGATAATCCCCAGAGCAGAAACAGTGAGGACACACATGTTGCTTATGGATATTTTCTTACTTACCAGTTGTGCTACCTGGATCCCTTCTCATACTTTCTCAATTTTCTCTTCTTGCCATGTCTTCAGCTCTATTATTTTCTTTCATTTCTTCCTTTTTTGCGTTTGCCCAAACCAATTCTCATTTGTATCTCTCCCGGGTTTTTTTACTACAAGTAAAGGCAGCTACTGATTACAATTAAAATAAAACCAACTAAACCTGAGGAGATTCATTCTTTCCCCCAAGATGAAGTTCAGTCGGGAGATAAAATGGGAAGCTGTAGAAGATAGTCTCATCTCCTAAATATGCTTGAACCTCTTTAATCTGGCAACCTTGGGAAATAGGCCATGCCAGATTATGGAATTTTCTGGACCATGGATGTTTACGTATACTAGTTGTTTTGAAGGTGAAAATAAAAACATTTTGTAAGACGCTGAATTTTTATTTCACGTGTGACATAGATAGCAATACATATGTGGTCTGGGAGGGAGAAGGAGCGCGCCGGGGATGGGGAGGAGGGAAGATGGGAGAAGGGTATAGGGAGGCAGGGTCTAGGTGTGAGGGGGTTGTGCATGGGTGCTTACCTGGTGCTCTGCTCCTGGGGGCATACGTGGCTCCATGCCTCCTGCCTCCTGGTACTGCTGTCCCACTGCTATAGTAGCAGCGGGGAGAAAGTCTCTGCAGCAACACTTCACTGCACTGCTGTTTCCTCACCTGGAGGGAAA